TTAACGAAGCTGGAATATGTGGATTACCAAGTCAAGTCGTTGCTGCTTAATTACCCATATTAGCTCATCTCCTTAATTTGTCACGGAAAAAGATTGACAAAATCTGTTTCTTGATAACATACATGCGCGTGTGCGTATGCAGATAAGCACGGTAAACAGCGTAGGTTTTCTTTCATTGACACAGTAATTACCTAGCTACCAAGTCATACTCAAGTGAGAAAGTCAGAATATTTGTACAGCTCCGGTGCAACGCGTGCACCTAACAGATTGATATTTATTTTTTAGGGATAACAGATTGATATTTCAGTTCAACTCCTACGCAAGCTAGATTGATTAATTCTGACTGCAGAGTCGGACGGAGGGTGTTTTCTGAAAAGGCCTATGTAAGAGCATCTTCAACTAGTCCCTTTTCCCATGAGAAAATAATAATCTGATTTAGGAGGAGTTGGGCAAAATAATGTTCGAACATGTCTCGTAAGCATGGGTTTTTTAAGGGCCCCGCATAAACAGCAGAACTTTCTCCGCATCCAGGGAAAATAGCTCTTCCGTAAACCTTTCCGTAAAAGTGCCACATCAGCACACCGCCGCCATCAACTATCACCACCGTGCCACCTGCCCACCCTCACGCCGCTGATCACGGCCGCCTGTTTTCCGCCACCATAAAGAACCACATTTAAGGAAAGTTTTTAAGGGATTTATTGAAGATGCTCACCTGCAAACCACTCCTAAATTATATGAACACCCCATAAATCCTGTTTTGCAGGGAGATTTTTTATGGGACTTTTTGGAGAGGCCCTTAGGTCATATGTCAAGTATCACATGTCCTTACAAACACAATCTTATCGTTTTCATTACTTGTTTTATGAATCAAAGGGTTTCCCCTCGGTTCCTCCTTTTTACTGATGAAACCAAAAGTACTCTTTGCATTACATCCACACACTAGAAGAAAATGTGCATCAAATGGATCACATTAATCCAAATGCAGCCGATATTTCAACTCCAAAGCCTTAGAAAACTACTGAACTCATAACTTGTGGTCGACTCATCAAGCCTCGTTTTCTGACTTTTCTTTACAAAGGCCAACGACCATATATTAAATAGAACATGCTTTTAAAAAACACTCCTACATAAACTAAACATCCAAGTATTTGAGGCGTTGAGCACTCCTAATCTTCTTCTGCCCATCTCTCCTAGAGTATTGGTTTTGTCCTTTAGAGAGTGCACACTCTCTTTAGAAAACTCGTAACCAGGTTTTAAAAAAATGCAAAATCGATCCAAAACAAATTGGTGTTGATATTAGAGTGATTCATGCGCTAAACTGCCTTGATGAAAGATTCATTCATTTGTGGTCTCATGGAAAAAACAAAAAGTGGAGATCTAAATAAATCTTTTGTTATTTTTGCATAGCTCACAAATGAATTGAGATTTTCAAGAAACTTCAATTGGAAACCAATTTCAATCATTAGCATGTGTTTTTTTCTTTGTTAGATTTTTTGAATGAGTGTGGTTTTCCTTTTTGAAAAAGGAGCATTGGCTCCCGAGCACACTTGATGGGTTCCACACTCTCGTAGCGTTACATCCCTTATTTCCATCCGCGACTCTCCGCGTGTAAGCTTACCCTTTGCTTGGCACATCATGTTATGTCGGAGCATTAATAGCCAATCAAATTTTTCCCTCGCCCCTCATCTCACGGGCGGTTGCCATTTGTCAAAACGGTGGCCTTTGCGGTGCCTACGGCAACTCGGAGTAGAGAAGAAGAACAACAAGAAGAATCACAAAAGTTTGACTCTATGATCAACTTTTACATTAATTGACAAATCAGTTTGCATTTGATAATAAATTTGGGAACTAATTTTTGGGTCCTTTGATTACTTGAAAAGTTCAGATTTGGTACCTTAACTTTAGACCGATAACTTTGACCCCATTAACTTTCTGTACTTGACAAATTTGGCCTTTGGCCTTAACCAAAGTGATATGCATGATCATATGGTGATATTTTATCACATGTGGCAAACCATAGAGCACAATATAGGAACATATATGCAGGAAAATGGCAATAAAGCATGGAACAATGAAAGATGTTAAGAAATACAAAAATGGAGGAAATTTGAAAATAAATATTAAAATATAACCAAGTATCAACAACACCCTAAAAAGCCACTAAAAATATGAGATTTAACAATATAATATTTTTAAAAGATTTAATAAAAATAATCTTTAGGGCAGATCATGAAAAAGTATAACATCAATTCATATAACTCAACGTATCTTTTCTTTCAATAATGTTCCTAAACTATTTGGTAGTTCTCATGAACATCTAATCTATGCACAATGTTTGTGGATTGTTGTATTCTATAAAAAAAATCCAACTTTCTTATTTGTGAATAAATTGTAGGGTATTTCAATAGTTCTCTCGAATGTTTTGGATTTATCTGGAATGTTTTTTGTTTCAAAGCAATCACCGCTTTTGAAGGAAACATACCGAATGCTACTATTCTGAATTTTCCGACCTTTTCTGCCAACATTCTGTGTTGCATAGGTTGCCATTTGTGCTAAAATTGGCGTCACTACCTCAATTAGATGGCTAACATGGGGGGGGGGTAGAAAATATCAATGCTTAGGGTGAGCAAATAACTCATTTGGTTAGGGAGCAAAATGCCAGTTTGCATATTAGATTTGATTGAAGTCAAACTTATACAGTTTGACCAAGTCCGTGAAAAACAATATCAACATCTGCAATAACAAATGTATATGACGTGGTACTATATTCAATGATGAATCTAACACTATTGATTTGGTATTGTATATGTTAATATTTTTATCTATAAATTTGGTCAAATTTTATAATGTTTAACTTCGGACAAAGCTAGTATGCGAAGTAAATAAAATGGAGGGAGCGTATATTGAGATTTGGTGACTAAAATGAACTAGTTTGACAATACTAAGATTCCATGTTTTTGGTATATTTGTGGTAAATTATTTAACTTGAAACGGTCACTTCTACTCTTCTCCAAATAAAAGCCATCGATCCTACGAAGAGCTTTTAGGATTACCCACCTACATTCGGAAATCTAAGCATTAGTCAAAATTAAGCACATATCTTCGCTACCTAACAAGATACTTGACGAAATCAATCACGTCAGCGATGACTGGTCTTGACAGGAATTAATCAACCACATATGCACGCATGCCACGAGAAAAAGGGTTCGGCGTGACTGATAGAAATCCCACTATACACTGTACAGCAACCAAAGTGTCCCACTGTACAGCAACCAAGTGTTCCATGTTGAATTGATCACCGTTCAGAATGACGAATTGATCGAACGTGGTTTAACATTTTTCCTTTTCTTTTACTACACATGACAGGATAACATATGTACAGTAGTTATTTTTTCCCGAGCTGATACCATATGTACTTGTACTTTAAAGAATGGTTTGAACTCTACTTTTCGATGCCGGCTGTTCAATTTCTGTAGCTTTGCTAGCAGCTCCCGTAGGAATAAATGAAAGGGTGTGGTTAGGTCTCGGTCGACTGAGACTTAAGCAATTCTCAATCAAGTGACATAACATGTAATAAAGAAAGAAAAACTAAAAGAAAATTTTGCACGAGTCTCCATGCAAGATCTCACGAATATAACGTCAATCGACTGAGAGGTAGCAACACTGTAAATGAAATAACCAAAGTAGTCGATCTATAGCTGATTTTCATGGTACTGGTAATCCTGCCGGTGCAAAGCACAACTCAAACATAAGTTGCATAAATGATGACCAAACAAACAAAGACCTTCAGACTGGTTGAATCTGATAGCACAATTCTAGTAGAGAATATTTAGATTACTTGTTAAAATAAACCAAGAGACTGATGATTACAAAAAATATCGCTGGCACAGAGGTGAAATACACGATGATCTCATCCAATGCACACCATCCCGTAGGAGTTAGACTTGACCCTAAGCTGCAATACATCACCGAATTGATTTCTCACCGGCTGTTAGCTAAGCTGAAAAAAGTATTGCTCAAAAAAAGCCGGAGAGGGATAGAGATGGAGATTGATCGTAATACAGTGAATATATTATTGAGCCTCGAGAACAAGTATATAGAGAGTACAAGACATGGAGGGTAAGAAGGCTCTCTAGAG